GACGCGCGCCGATAGGTGTCAAATGCGTGGCAGGCAGACAGTTGACATGACATGAGAGAGCGAAGGCGACGCGGCCGTCGGGACGTCGTGGTCGGGCGTCGTTGCCTGGCGTCCTGCGGGATATTGCGCAAGCGGCGTTTCCCGCAGCTGCGCGTTCCCGGCACGTCCAGCCTGCTCGCGTTATCGCGCCACCGATTCACGCGATACGAGGGGGACACATTTGTAACCGCACGGCAGTCCAGGATTGGTGGACGGTGCCGGGCGGTGGTGGCAGACGGCTCGTGATTGTCGGAGCAGGGCAAAACGGGCGCGGCCGAGGGCGCTCGAAGTGGGGGATGTTTGAACAAGATCGGGAGACTCAAGAGTAGCGGAGTACACTCGCTAACCGGCCTCCATCCACACGGCACACAGAGAGACAGAGAGACCTGACTGGTGAATGAGGGAGAGTGGAGGTGAGGTGGCTCAAACAGGCCCCGCTCAAACAACCACGATCGTTGCTCTTGTGTGTTCAGCCTGTGCTGGCCGCGCGACCAGCCAGCCGCGTCGTCGAATCCGCCCGCGTACTAGTCGCGTCGCGTTGTTGAAAGAACCTGACCGTCGCGGATCAGCTTTTGTGCGGGGACGTAACAGTGATCGAGTGATCCACCTTCGAGGAACAGGATTGTGATAGGGATTCAGTGCGCGGCTGTGTACGAAGGAACGACTCTTGTTTGGAAAAAAGGAAAAGTGAAGTTTGAACGGTGAATTTTTGCTCGGGGTAAATTAGCCTGAAGAACGATCTCGAAGAGTGCGGTGAAGGACGAGTGCGAGGAACGCGATAGGATTCCCGTCCACGGGGAGAAGATTAAGGGAGCATCGCATTACCAGCAGCCCTGGTACCGCGGCTTTCATGATTCCCGTTTGACGAGCAGACAGCAGCCCGCCACCCCGGCACCGGTGAGCTCTATGACCATGCTCCAGTCGCAGAAGCTGTACAGCGACGCTGGTAGCCTAGGCGGCGCGATGACCAGCGCCACGATGTCCACGATGGGCAGCATGGCGCCGACGTACAGCTCGATCAACACGATGGGCTGCGTGTCGATGGGCATGTCGATGGGCGTCGGAGTCGGGCCTAGTTGTAGTCCCCAAAGTGCCGGTGGTTTTAACATGAGCACCATGAGTTCGGCTGTGGGGATGGCGTCGATGGGCGGCGGTGGCATGGGAACTTACGGGAGCGCTTCCATGGGCGGCGGTAGTGCTTGCATGAGTGCCGTCGGATACGGTCCACTGACTACAGTCGGCAGCGCCGGCGTTACTCGGGATCCCCTGTCCTTGGCGGAGCCCGAGTCGCCTAATTCCGCGTTGCAACGCGCGAGAACGGACAAGCCGTACCGCAGAAGTTACACGCACGCGAAACCGCCGTACTCTTACATAAGCCTGATCACCATGGCCATACAGAACGCGCCGACCAAGATGCTGACGCTGTCCGAGATCTATCAATTCATCATGGATCTGTTCCCGTTCTATCGGCAGAACCAGCAACGCTGGCAGAATTCCATCAGGCACTCTCTTAGTTTCAACGACTGTTTCGTGAAAGTGCCCAGGACGCCCGACAAGCCCGGCAAGGGCTCCTTCTGGACGCTGCATCCCGAGAGCGGCAACATGTTCGAGAACGGGTGCTACCTGCGCCGCCAGAAGAGGTTCAAGGACGAGAAGAAGGAGCTCACCAGGCAGAACAACAAGCACCAACAACACCAGCAACACCACGGTGGACCGGCCGCGGCGGGAGCTGCGGCCGCGATCGCCGCC